TAGGATCCAGACTTGTTTCCATAAACCACCGATTTCAGCATATTTTTCAAGTTAGTTGAAAGCAAGAAGTTCAACTGTGAAAAAGGATGGAATCAACAGTCTGTTTATTCTGAAATCACAAAGAACCTGATTTGTCCAGTATTTCCTAGGAAACCATTTCAGGAAGCACTATCATTCCATTATGGATGGAGTCTATTCCGACAGAGAGAGAGAGAGAGAGAGAGAGAGAGAGAGAGAGAGAGAGAGAGAGAGAGAGAGAGAGAGAGAGAGAGGTCTACAGCATTCCCCAGCATATGTGCATCATATGATTACACAAGTGGGTGTGTGGTGTTTCAAATTAATTTCTTGGTCAAAAGCTGACAAAAGATTAATAATGAAATTTTATGGCTGCTAGACAGTATCTAGATGGATGCAGGATATTTTTCCCCGAGATATCCAGCAACAAGGTCAGAAAATCATTCTGGACCTCCTAGCTGGGGATCTGGGGATCTCTCACTTCCCTCCACAGTTAGTCCTGTTTCTCTAGGATCACAAATGGGATCTCAGAAAAAGGGTTTGCGACATTCCAGGTGGTGGCAGCAGTGGGGAAGAGAACAGTGGCACTACCAAGATATGGTGCATTCCAGCAGCGGCTCAGCTTCCTTCCTTCTCATCCGATGCTCTGTGCTTAGATGGCTGAGATCAGCTGAGTGTTTTGCAAGGCAGGATATGTTAGCTTGGGCGCATCCCACCCACCATAAAATACCCATAATCCTTGGAGTTCAGAGGGTTCTGGGTCTAGATCTAGATTGCATCATCATAAAAATTATATGGTCCTTATAAAAAATGGTGCTAGAACAGCAATGGATAGTGAGATAGTAGAAGGAGTGACATCTAAAAGTTCTGAAATAGAAGAAATAGTTTTTAGTTTTAAGAAGCTTGGGGAGCGTTTCTGCCCCCACCTGAAAACTTTAAAAGTTAACTCATATCTTTCAGAAGAGAGCCAGTGGAGTCAGGGAAGATAGTTTTACTAAGATTAAAAATTTACTTCTTATGAGTTTTTACCATATTTGAAAATTGTATTAATAAATTTTAATCAATTAAATTGCATCAATTTCATACATTCCATAAATTGCATAAATTTCAACAGCACCAAAACTTCAATAATATGGATTTTTAGTTGTGGAGGGGAATAATTTGTTTGACGTAAGGAATAATGATATCTTTCTTTCAATGGCCAAAAAGTTTAAATAATTTTATTTATTTATTTATTTATTTAGAGTATTTGCATGCCATCCCATTGCATAGCTTCAGATTGTAAATGGTGTAAATTGTCCTTATGGTGTAAAATGTCCCGAGACGCCAGTAGATGGATAGTCTGTAAAAGCCATAATAAATAACACTATTCTTTTCTATAAATACTGCATTCATACATTCAGTAATAATGATTCAGATCCATATGAAGTCATGCTTAGAGTAATTGCCCTCTTTAAGTCAATGGGGCATAAGTTAGTCATTGATATCTTCAGTTATGTTAGACCGGAAGTGTAAGAACATGGGAAAAGCTATGCAGGATTAGGCCAAGGGTAAATTTAGTCAAGTAGTCTGTTCATACACCCAGCTCCCTATGGGATGCCCACAATTAGGACATGACTGCAATAGCACCTGCTCACTCATTATCTCCATCAACTGGTGTATTTATTTACTTAATTTATATTCTGCAGACTAATAGTCTAAACACGACTCTCTAGGCAGATAGAGAGTGTATGTAGGCAGACTGCCTTTGGAACTGGAGGCAGCATACAGCCATCAGGACTATTAGGCTCATCCTCCAAATTGGTGGCCATCACTACATTTTGCTGGTGCAATTAATCAGGGATAAACATGTTCATCTCATTTATAGTCTCCCTATTTTTGGTTTTGAGCAATAGGCCCTGACCTGATGCCTCATTTAAAGAATAGTTTGACAAAAACCTGCGTGGCTGCAATGAAACTTTTAGTTCACCAGCCAATTCATATCAACAAAAACATTCAGTACATATATTTAGTACATACATATGCATCCTTGCAAGTACTTTCTCCATAGCAGTATAAGACACAGGCTGTTTTGCAGCATATTGGGGTGGGGTGTTATTTTGAGATAGAGGAAGCATGTGAATGAATAAGCTCTCTCTACACAACTGATATGACATGAGAAAGAATAATAGAGGCAATTATGTGGTGGAGAGAAAAACAGAAAGAGACATCTTCTAAACTAGACTGTTCCGTAACCTCTTAACTTGAGCACTGGAGTACTCATTTTCTCCTTTTTAACACAACCCCATGGGTATCAGCAAGGAGAGCATGTCACTAACAGAATTAAGAGATTGACTTGAATGATATGTTTGGAAATGTGCTATCTTCCCCCTTTACAGAGTAGAGGACATTTTCATGTGGCTGCAAATGTAATAAGGTGCTGGGAAATGACAGACAGTATAAACCATGAGCTAACTGTAAGCTCAAGGGAGTTGGAGAGAAGGAAGAATCTTTTTAACTCAGCCTACCAACACATGCAAGAATAGTGATTTGTGTTTTTCCCCCAAAAAATGTAACTTGGCAGAGAGAGAGAGAGAGAGAGAGAGAGAGAGAGAGAGAGAGAGACTATTGAACAAATCAAGTCTGCTTCTGAAATTCTTCCCATCACATTTGGCACCACATTTTTTGTTTTGGCATTCTTAACTGATTAGACTTGTTATCAATGTGGAACCAATTAATAATGATGTACCACTATATTGTCCTATAAAACAGGAGTGGAGAACCTGTGGCTCACAGGCCAAATCAGGCAGCATATACATCAAAATCCAATCAATACATACATACATAAACAAAGGCCTCAGATTTTCCCATTTGGCCTAAGAGTTCATTGTGGACCCTACTTCCTTCAGCTCTGCCCAGGAAATCCGTCATTGATGGGAGATAAGAGCTAGGATTCCCCACCCCCCCCCCCAAAAAAAGCTAGCCTTTCTTCAGGGCAGTCCTAGGAAACCTTAGTCTTAACGCTTATCAATGTTCAAAGATAATGGACATTTAAAGACTTCTTTGCTAGGGATTTAAACTTTAAATGCTAGAATGGAGCAGTACTTTACATGCCTTAAAGCTATTGCACTCTGACTTTCTCTTCAATATACATTCAGAGAGAATTGATCTGTGATTTGTATGCTTTAAGGAAAATGTCCAGATTAGTACAGATTCTACCTAGGGCCACCTACTTTACTTTGGCCCAGCCACAGAGTGTTTCCCCAGGCATCTCCTGAGACCCTTCCCAAATTGGAATTCTGGTCACAGGATAAAAAAAGGCACCATCCCAAACATAAAAGCATGATGTGATGACACAGATCACTTGGATCAAGCATATTTTTGCTTGTTGTTTCATCAACATGCAAGTGCCAGTGTACATATCAGCAGCAAAAACAGCTAATCACAAAAGCATCTAATCTAATCTCCTGCGCAGTATTTAACAATCCACTAATCTCTTTGGCTAAGACACAGGGAGAAACATAAGTGAGTTAATGGGCTGAAAATAAAAGCAAACCCTGCATGTTTCGATTTTGGAATTAATTTTGAATTTTTCCTAGTTAAACTGAATTTAAGAAGAGTAGAACACAAAACAGGCAAATCCCACAGAATAGTAAAGGAACTGAACTGTGGAAATTTCACCATGCTTAGGTCAACTGGGACAGGGTTTTCTAATCAGTGCTGACCAGATTAAAATTAGAACTGATAACCCTGCAATCTATACCTTGTGCTCAGTCAGCACTTCCAACACAGCATTAAGTGGATAGGTTCATGGCAAGCAGGGGTGGGGGGTGGTTGCCACAACTGGTGGTAAATTACCACGGTTTCCCTAACAATCACATTTCTCAGCTAGCTCTATCTTTTTCTGACTTCCATCCTCCTGCTCTCATCATGCAGTCCCTGTGAGCAAAATCCTCTTCATTACTACATTGTTTCTTATGGACATCAGCTGTCTCTTCATATTTGGTCCACTGAGGTTGTGAGGTGGGTTCTCTCACATCCCCCACCCAACTGTAACTCTTTAACATTTTCTGGCCAATCCAGCCCCTAAGGGTTTGTTTGGGTATGTTTTTTACATTAAAATAAATACTTTTGCTGCAATTCCTTCCTTCTCCCTTTTTTGCACTTACCTACTTTCTAGCTATTTCAGGAAACAAAATGCAGAGAATGTACTTAAAGGAATTTGGAATGCTACTGAATTCTGACAAAAGCAAAATGCATTGGCAAATACATCCCATTCAAGGTAGATTCAAGCCTTCACAGATCGGCTGCAATTCAGCAAGTTTTCATTGTTCATTTGGATGAGCCATTGCATGTATTCAGGGGTCTCCTATATCACTGTCTATCCAGAAGATAAGAGACAATCTAAAAGTTCAGGAGCATGTAATGTACTTTCCTGTGCTGTAACTTTCAAAATGCACTTTGAAATGCAATTTCTAAATTGCAAATGTGAATACCCACTCCATGTGAAAAAGTCAGAAGAAAAGCAAGCTGCAAACCATTTCCATAATACCTTATCTTTCTACAACATGGATTTTATAGGCTGGATTGAGGGTTAGCCTTCAATGGACAGAAAGCCTACACTCATGGAAAGTACCTCCATTCATCCTTCCTATGCAACCATTCACCCCATTCAGCAGGGTTCCCCAATACTTCATGTACCATTTCCTGGGTGCTGGAGAGGCTGGACGAGTCCACTTGTGCCAACCCTGTTGCACACACCTAAATCTGGACCTGTACATTGAGTGTGCCTGCGTGAGCTGACCAGGCCACAAACATGGCAGTGCATTCTTCTACATCCTCAGCCAGCCTAGGATTGCTCTGTCTTAAGCTTGCTTAGATGTTGCAATGATTCAGTGAAACAGCCATTTGATGAAGATAATAAATTGATCACTTGTTCAGTATGTTATAACCCTAATTATGCCACCCATTAATAAGCAATTATAACACAAAGGGAGGAAACTCACCAGTAAAATCTGTTTGGTGTGATCCGTTCATACATGATCTGCCATCTTCTTCCAAAATCCATTGAGCTGTAGAGCTGAAAGAAAGGAAGCCAAATACATGAGATTGTAATAAACAGGCAATTGACACATATGTGGCAGTAACTTGTCAAAGTCCATCCTGGTCAAATGCTATTGCAAGTTATATTGAGTATGTGATATTATTCATCTCACATCTGATAGTTAGTTATTCTATTTTATATTAAAGTACTGTTCATTTTGATTAATGGCAGACACTCAGTATGAAGGTGCTGGACATGACTCACTGCACTGAAAAGGACGTAGTGTTCAAAAGCTCACCATATCTACAGCTAGTAAGAATTAAAAAAAAAAACATTTATGTGAGTCAAATGAAAATAGTCCAAGCCAATAGCAGCCCCTGTGCTTGCAGATACTCACTCCTTGAAGAAAAGAAGCAGCATGGGGTTTGATCTCACATTTTTGGATATAATGCTCTTATGGGGAGCCACCTTAGAAAGCTGCAAAAATGCCCTTTCCTACACATTTCTCTACTCTCTTTATTATTTAAAGCCCAAGCTTTACAAATGCTTCTAAAGGCCTGATATGTTAGAACTCCAAGCAAACAAAACATATTATGTCAGTCCTGATAAATAGAAAAAAAATACTATGTGCATCTGCAGTTTGACATTTTAAACTCAGTTAAAGCACAATAACAACATGACAAGGGAAACAAATTGGCATTTTCTTCTGCTACCCTGAGATTCAGTGCTGAGATTTGGTCTAAATCTGGATTTTATTACTTCCATTAAGGTATTTGGGCAGAGCAATCCTGTACGCCAAGTATGCTGAGACTGAAGATACACAGATGAAAAGCTGGCAGAATGGACAGTGTGTCCAATGTATGTTCCATCTGGGAGAGGACCAGGAACCGCACAAAGAGAAATGGAAATCTGAAAGTTCTATACGGCTTAATAAATGGAAAATTGTCCTATATCTGCAATCTAAAACCAAACATGTTTCAGCAAAAAGTTATCTCCTATTAGCTTTGGACACCTAAGCGTATTACTAAGATAATGTTGGCTTGCACCGTGAGATACCAGTGATTCCTCATTGTGGAATATGATCCAGCCATGCCCTGTAGTGTCTTCTTTCTGGCTGAAAGTTATTGCTTCTATATTTTTCCCCTTGAAAAATCTGTGACAATTCATGCACTTTCCAATTATAAATCTTTGATGTGGTATTTAGCAGATAAACAGAATATGTGACTGTTGAGAGCCCTTGCAGCTGCAAAGAGACTTATACTTCAAGTCCGGAAACACACCACCATGTTTTGAAGATCTTACAGTTCTCTATATTTGAATGGATAGCCTACGGTCATCAGCCTTGTTTGGATGCTTAGCTGAAGCAGAAATGTACAAGGTTTTTTAAAACTTATTTTGTATTAATGATGCTGTGAATGTTTCATAAATGATTTTTGTTTTCAGTTTTGCTGTGTTTTTTGCATTTTCTTCTTTTGCATTTTCCTCTCGGTGTCTCTGTGTGTAAAACAGCAAATAGAAATAGTAGAAAGGTGACAGAACTTTTGAACCCAAAGTAATACCAACTGTGCCACCCACATGCTGTTTGCATACACTGGCAGTCACAGAACTCATGGTGGATGGATGTGGTCCAAGCACAGCATCTACATCCCCACACAGAGGTGAATAGTCTTCTCTGCCAGCCCCAACGCCACAGCCAGTGATGACTTCATATCTGCAGGACCCTGAGAATCCTGAGAGCCAGCGGCTCAGCGCCCCTTATGTCCTCACAACCATTATTTTCAGGAAGGGTGGTGGGGCACACACTCACAAGCTCCCTGGGCAGGACACCTGCAGGAGGCGGTTGAGGTCTTTCTGGGGCAAAGGCTAGGGATTCCGCCAGAGAGGGAAAAGACTGCTGAGCAGGACACACAGCAATGGCAGCCACACACACACACTTGACACCTACAAGCTTCAGTGGCTCATTCTGTATGGCTGCCTTTCCCAACCTACAACCCCAGCATTTCTGGACATGTGCCACCATGGCCGGAACTATGGGAGTTGAACTCCAAAATGATAAAGAGACATGAGTTTGAGGAAGGCTGCCTGAGATATGAGCAGAAAAGCAGAAAAGAGGAGTCTGATCCCCAACGCTACCTGAATGAAGGGGGCAACACATGCAGAAAAGGAGAACAACAGGGAAGGAAAAGGGAGCTCCCAGGACTCAGTCACATCCTGCACACCGCAAGAGTGCCAACTGCCCAGCCAGAATAGCAGGCTGCAATTGGACACATCATGGAACATTTGTCTTTGCCCTATCCCACACACCAAATCCAGGCACAGATTGCAACAGCACTGGGACTGCCTCGGGGGCTATAGCCAGTCAAACATGGCACAGGGATAGCCACCTTCTTCCTGTATTGGCTGAACAGGCCTGGCACAACCTTCTCTACAATAATGCCACTATGCCATGTAACTCCCTTATAAGCTTTGCTGCTCATCTGCTACATCCTCTATCCTTTGTCATCACTTCCTTATTTACACCTCCCCTAAAGTCCCCGAACCTTAACTCTCTCCTACACCCTGGCAGCAACCACCATTCTGCTTCTGTGCTCCAAGAGTCCTGTTTTCTCACAGTCCAGGGGGACCTCAGTGTGCAGAGGTAGGTGAGGACATTACTACTGAGCCCGTTAAGTACCATGATTCCCCACCTCATGACCATGCCCCATCCCAAAGCCAACTAGTTCAACTTGGGGCAATGATAGGGAACCCTATCTACCACTTCCTAGAAACAAAGAAGCAACACATGTGGCAGTGTCAATGTTTTTATTGGTCAGAAACTGCTATGGAAGAGAAATGCATGCACAATGTTGCCAGCTAATCACCCCACCAGGACTTCTGTGCCTTGGACAGTGGCTCAACAGATAAAGGGTATCTGGTGCAGTGTCCCTTATGCACTACCTGCATGACAGAAATACCTAAAGACATATGAAAATTAGATTTTTAAAATCAGGATTTACCCAGTTTGCACTTTCCAGACCAAACAGGCTCAGTACATTTCCGACTTGAATTGGGCTTTGCAAACCAAAATGAAAATTCAACAGCATACACACTTCAAAAATTGATAACAAATATGCTTTAATCAGTAGGAAAATAATGTGTCTATTTCAAAGATGTGCCTAACTGATGCACACATTTGAAAAAGATGTTTGCAGAAATACCCTTGGACTTTCATGAAAAAAGGAAAAAAGTTGGCAATCTATAGGCATAGTATTCACGTAAGGCAAAGGATCTGGGAGACAGACATGGCGGCTATATTACATCACGTGTTCACTCTTTCCTTGCTTACCTGTATAGAGCACTCTGACCAGGCACCTGCGGTAGTTGCAGTCAAGTTTGGCAGTTGTGTTTGCAGTCGCATGGAGCCAGTTAGAATGCTAAACAGCACCCTGCGGGCGATGTGTTCAAGCCGCCACATGCTTCATGTGTGCAAAGTGCCTTTCCCACATAATTTCCCATCACCAGACCCCACACTCACACACTCCCCTGTGAGTTCTGAGGGCGCACAATGGAATGGAGGCAGAGAGTGATATGATCATCATTATTTATAAATTGTTACATCACATTGATATATTGCCCATAACCAAAGCTGTCTGGACAGTTTATAACATAATATGAACACAATAAAATGCAACAGATAAAACATTAACAATGAATAAAGATTAATTTAAAGTAGCATGCAATATATTAAAAGACCAGGGCGAGAATAAAAAAAGTCACCTGGATAACTGTGTCTTGCTCCTGAATGACCAGGGAGATCTTTAAAGGCTTCTACAAGGGAGCTGTCTTAAACTGGTGCCAAAAAGATGGCAAATATGGCAGCATGGAAGTTGTTCCAAAGATCAGGGGCCGTCACAGAAAAGGCCCTCCCCCTAGTTGCCCCCCTCCAAGACTCTCAATGGGTTCTCCCTTAGAGGAAGGGCCCAGAGGTGAATTGGGACTGAAAGCATATAGGCATATTACACAGCCTACAATTTAAGTTATCGTTTCTCTCTGTGTGGGATATGCATGTGTGTCAGTGCTGATATGTTGTGATTAGGTGCAGAGATGCAATGCTTCTCTGCTCTTTTAAGTCAATGTGGGCAAGTCAACCATCAATGTGGGGGCTTTTTTCCCCCTTTGCCTGCTCGCTTTGAAGGCAGTGGAAGGACATTTCCTGAAACAATTCTTAACACTTCCAGTCAAACACCCTTAAAAACACTTTTAGAACACAATCTTCAGTATAGGAGTATACACTAAAAGTACTTGAACATCCCTTATTCTTATGGTGATGATTAAAAAAATGATTTCCCTACTTTCCACTGTTGTTCCTCTTCAACTATTATCTGAATAGTATTTAACAATTAAAATAGTATCAGATACAGATTTATCCTGAGGAGGGATTCCCCACATAAATTTCCAAGTTTGTAAGGGGTTTTTGCCTGGAAGTGTTAAGTCAAGAGTGAAGTGAGCTGGGGAGTTCATGTGCCCAAATTCCTTCTGCAAATTTCCCCGTTAACTTTTCTTAGGCTACAACCCTATGTTGTTTATTTTAAAAATATAACCCTTGCATTTCAGTTTAAAACAACATCCAAATAGACCTAGAGAAGAAAAATCAATACACATCAAAGCAATAATATACAATAAAAATAATCACATACAGTTAAAATAACCCTCAGAGGGAGCACCAGAGAAAAATACAAATAAAATCAGCATGTCAACTAAGGGCAGAGCAAGCAAATTCATCCTCTACACCCACTTCAACAGCACTCCAAAGCAAAAGAACAAAAGAACAGCCAGGGAGAATGGGAAAGGGCTATGGATATTCTGGGAAACAGCATTCCAGAGCTTGGATGCAATACATGAAAATGACTGTCTCACTTATCCACCCAACTGACCTCCAAACGTGTGGGAGGTAGAGGGACAGAGAAGGACAAAGTGATTAGAAGAATATTCCTTAAAATATTCTGGTTCCAGGGCATTTAAGTCATTAAACATAAATTGCAAACACATTGAATTTG